CTGCCACCCCGTTGCCGCCCGAAACCGCTTTCCCGCCAACCGACCCCCCCCCTCTTGCGATGCCGCCCGTGGCAGTTACCGGCAGGCCTCCCCTCGACCCGCCCTTTTTCGCGAACCGCCACGGTCAATTTCCGCGCGCGCCGCGCTTTCGCACCTTGGCCCACTATTTTCCCCTTGCCCGCGCCCTCCGCGAAACGCCACGGCCAAGTCCCTCATGCCGCGGTCTCTGTCCGCCCTGCCATTCTGCCGCGAAATGCCGCCCCTTTATTCGGTCGCCCGTGTCCCGCGGCCCTCCGGTACGATTTTTGCTGGGCCCGGCGGGACGCGTCACGCTGGGACCTTTCCTTGCTTTAGGAGTATAGAGATAAATCGGTCTGTGCACTACGCTGCGGTAGGCACCAAAAAGTGACTTAGCGTGGATTGTGTACAGTTCTGTGGCTTATGAGCGATAGGGATACCACTAGTGAGGACGACCGGATCTTGTGATCTGCTAGACGCCCGATTGCCCACGTGGCATTAGGACCCGAGGGTGATAGGTTACTGTTCCGCCAGCAAGAGACAGCAGCAGCAGCAAAGAGCAAGGGCAGCCGAGGCCAGCAGGGCGTTCGCAAGCGAAGCCGCAGCTTCAACAGCCATGGCAATTGCTGCACAGCAGAGTTCCCAGGCCAGCAGTTTAGGGACCGCAGGGTCAACGGTCGCGCAGACCCTGAGTCAGTCCACTGGCGTCATGGCAAGCCAGCCAATAGTGTTGACTTCCGATGAGATCGCCATACATCAGGCAGCACTGCAGGAGGCACAACTACAGAAGGCTTTAGGAGAGATACAAGCGGAGAAGGAAAGAACGATTAGAAGAAGAGCCAGGATGCAGCGGAGAGAAGCGGACGTCGGTGAGTTAGAGGGAATGGACCTGACGCACATGGATGCAGATGTGAGGAAGTTGCGGACAGTCGTGCTAGGTGTTGTAGAGATGCAGGACCACCACATGACTCTCCTTCAGGACATCCAACAGAGTTTGGCCTTGCTGGCCGGGCAAGTGCAGGCAGCACCATCGCTGTCCGGCCCGGTGCCTGGCCCGTTGTACAACCTCCTCCTTATGTCCCACCGGTGACTGGGGTATCCCCATATGTCTCCCCAGCATCGGTCCAAACCATTTCCTTGGGTATGCCGTTTGCAGGAGGGTTCTCTGCAGGTCCTAGTGTACAGGTTTCTGTATAGACAGTGTTCTCCCAACCTCTGTCGCAGGTTGCCGTAAGCGGGCAGCCTGCACAGTCGCAGGGTACACAGCCCCAACAGCAGATAGTGCAGCAGCCTGCTCCTTAGGGTCCACAGCCCGGAATGGTGCAGGTACCAGGACAAAGTCAGTGGGTTCCGAAGACGGTCATCCCCGCTCCTAAACCCCTCACAGGGGACAAGAGGGGCGAAAACCTCGACACATGGTTGAGGTCAGTGCCAATATACGTCACGTCCAAACTTACCTTGCCGCATGAGGAAGTGCACTTGTGGCTGCCTCCTATCTAGAGGGGAGTGCAGCAAGATGGTTGAGTGGTTTAGTGCAGTGATACGGTCATGACTTCCGCGCTTGGGCCGTCACCCAGAAACTGGATGACTTCCTCAAGTTGGTGGAAGACAGGTGGCATGATCCTCAGGAGGTCCAAAAGGCCACTGGTGTGATCCTGCCTCTGCATACTAGGCAGTTTAAGTCAGTAAGGGAGACCACATACGCAATAGAGCGTCTGATCTGTGTCCCTGGGGTGCGCTATGAACCCCAAGTTTTGCTCACCTCTTACCTGCGATGCTTTCCTATGCCTCTCAGGAATCGGTTGGCAGGTGAGGCGAACATCAACATGCACAACTTTCCCTCGTTTAGCAAGAAGGCCCTAGACCTTGAAGCAAAGATAGGGCATGGTCAGACGCCCACGACGGATGGTAGGAAAAAGACACTGCCTCCCAACTGGAAAGCGAATGGACGCATAATGTTTGTCGAGAACAATGGATCCACCATCGAGTTGGATGACGAGTTACAGGCGGGAGTGGGTTCATAGGCAGGCAGCGTAGCTGCTGGGGGTGGAGTAGTCGCTGCTGTAACTCAAAAAGCTAAGGTAACCGGTAGACGCCATGGAGGTTCCCGGTCTAGGAGTCAAGTTGACCCCAATGCTAGTGAGGACGTGTGGAGAGATATGTACACTCGGCAGGCTTGTATCCGTTGTGGCCAATATGGCCATAACCAGTTCAAGTGCCGAAATAAGAAGGTGACCGAGAAGATCCCGCCTACGATGGGGCAGGCGTTGGGGTCCTCCGCTCCCGTTGGTAGCAATGTGGCCAGCAGTTATGACACCGCTCCAGGAAACATGTCGGGCCAATAGGAATAGTAGTTTTTTCCTGCTAGGGTCGAGGTGGTGGACACACCCTCACCATCTTGAGAGATGGCCCAAGCTACTGACTCCATCATCGTCCCACAAACACATTCGGACCCATCGAGCCTCTGTTCGATGAATGTGTTCGAGTCCTTAGAGGAGCTAGAGGAGGAGTGGTTTAGATCAGACCCGCTAGCTTCTTGGACGACATTGGCTAAAGCCCCTAAGGGTGAGATGTTCATCAGCGAGGTAGTCATCGACGACCGCAAGGTCGGGGCCTATTACGACACTTGCTCGACATGGAACTTTATCAGTCGCGCGTGCGTTGAGAGGCTACGCTTACAGGGGCAAGTGCAACGCCTGAGTCGACCTGTGGAGTCGACCTATGCCAACAAATAGCGCGTGGTAGTGAACGACTACCTTTAGGACATTGTGTGTCTTTTCCCGTACACGGGAGGGGAACTGAGACATCGCGTCTCGTTCCTAGTAAGCAATGATCTCCCTATGGATATCTTGTTAGGTATGTACTACCTCTCTGTTGCACATCCCCAGTTTGACTGGGACTGAAAAGTGGTCAAACACACTTTGCTAGATGGGGGGACCGCCAAATTACGTAAGTTTAAGGCTAGTAGTCTGATTGAGTCCTGCGGATGCATGTGTGCAGCTGCGTTCTATAACTATTGTAAGCAAAATCCGGAGGAGGGTATGCATCTAGTTTATGTCTCTGCAACAGGCGAGCCGATGAAAATGTCGCCGGAGATAGAGGGAGTAGTTGCTAAGTACCCTGATCTATTTGAAGAGCCAACCGGGATTGTCGAGAGGGAGGTCGTCCACGCGATAAAGATTATCCCAGGGTCTAGCATCCCGAAGGGTAGGATCTATCGGATGTCTCCAGGCGAGCTTGACGAGCTTCGCCGGCAGCTCAAGGAACTCATAGAGAAGGGTTGGATCCGGCCGTGTCTCCCCTTACGGATCACCAGTTTTATTTGTGCCAAAGAAGGGGGGTACGCTGAGGATGTGCATTGACTATAGGGGCCGCAATGCCATCACTGTCAAGAATCGAGAGCCCCTACCGCGCATCGACGATTTGCTGGATAAAGTGCAAGGGTGTCGGTACTTCAGTAAGATAGATTTGAAGTCCGGGTACCATCAGATTKCAATACGGCCCGAGGATCAGCACAAAACCGCTTTTCAGACCAGGTACGGTCTGTACGAGTTTGTGGTGATGGCTTTCGGTCTTTGCAATGCTCCTGGCACCTTTCAGCACGCTATGAATCAGATCTTTCATGACTACTTGGATAAGTTTGCCATTGTGTACCTCGATGACATACTTATTTTTAGTAGGGCTGTCGAGGAGCACGTTGCGCACTTAGACAAAGTCCCCAGTCTCCTCCGGCAGCACAAGTTCAAGATCAACGGGGAGAAATGTGAGTTTGGTCGCACACGGATCTTGTACTTGGGTCATGAGATTTTCGCGGAGGGTTTGAAGTCTGATGATGCGAAGGTGGCCAGCATTCGCGACTGGCCGCGTCCTCAGTCTGTGACTGAGATGAGGTCTTTCTTAGGGATGACCGACTACTACCCTAACTTGTTAAGAACTATAGCATAGTGGCCGCTCCTTTGACTGACCTAACCCGCCTTGACACCCCACGGGAGTGGACAGACAGGTGCGAGGCTACTTTCAGACACCTGAAGCATGTGTTGATGCATCATGAGGTCTTGAAACTTCCTGATCCTGATAAGTCGTTCATAGTAACCACGGATGCCAGCCAATATGGCATTGGTGCCGTTCTAGCGCAGCGGGAGGGGCCAAAGTTGAGGCCAATGGAGTACATGTCCCAAAAGATGCCCTCTCGGAAGTTGGCTAAGTCCACCTATGAGAAGGAGCTATACGTGATCTATAAAGCGCTAACCCATTGGAGGCACTATATCCTTGATTCCTTGGGAGGTTGTTCATCGTCAGGACTGATCATCAGACCCTGAAGTGGATGAGAACTCAGTCCGTGTTCTCCGATGCGCTGAAACGCTGGATCGAAGTCATTGAGCAGTATGACTTCGAGCCCCAGTACCTCAAATGTGAGTACAACAAAGTTGTTGGCGCGCTGTTGCGTAGGCCAGACTTCTCTGGTGCGCTAATCACTGAGTTTGGGCTTGCGGACGATGTTACTCGCTCTTTGGTGGAAGCCTATCGCGAGGACCAGTTCATGTTCGAGATCATACGCAGACTCGAGGCGAAGGACAAGGTGACTTCTGTCGAGTTTGAGTTGGTTAACGGCTTGCTGTTCCTTGAGAAGGCCGGAAATAAACGTTTGTGTGTTCCTAATAGAGAGTCTTTGCATAGTTTATTTTTAGGTGAGAGTCACGATGCCACGGGACATTTTGGTTTCAAGAAGACTGCAACTAATCTGTTGCAGCGGTTCTAGTGGCCCACGATGATGAGAGATGCCAAACTATATGTCGAGACTTGTGTTACGATCCTGGTCACTTCCCAAGTGCAAATTCACAATGAAAGACAATGCCACCCAATTGCAAAAGAAATGAAAGCACTTGCAAAGAGATAAAGACCAGAGGAGAGGTAAAGAAGAAGAAGAAGAAGAAGAAGAAGTACACCAGCAAGACCAAAGACAATTCCCCCTTCTCTCTCCACCTTCGGCCTTCCTCCTTCTCTTCACCAATCTTATTCTTCTCTCAATAATAATAATAACAATGAATGGATGAACCAGAATCAATGTCCGAAGTTCCCCCTTACTGCTGACTCAACTCACAACAACAACAAGTCCACCATGGCTATGTCTTCCCTCCTTCAACCTCCTCTCTCATGCATAGGCCATGGCGGACTACTGGGNAGACAATGCCACCCAATTGCAAAAGAAATGAAAGCACTTGCAAAGAGATAAAGACCAGAGGAGAGGTAAAGAAGAAGAAGAAGAAGAAGAAGAAGTACACCAGCAAGACCAAAGACAATTCCCCCTTCTCTCTCCACCTTCGGCCTTCCTCCTTCTCTTCACCAATCTTATTCTTCTCTCAATAATAATAATAACAATGAATGGATGAACCAGAATCAATGTCCGAAGTTCCCCCTTACTGCTGACTCAACTCACAACAACAACAAGTCCACCATGGCTATGTCTTCCCTCCTTCAACCTCCTCTCTCATGCATAGGCCATGGCGGACTACTGGGTGGCAGCTATGGTGCTGCCCTGATGTCCAGAAGACAACCCAAAGCAGCTATGCCGCTGCTTGACTTGGTCCGCTATGCCTGACCCTGCCTCGAGCTGCCCTGGTGCAGCGCTACCCCAACTGGGGCCTTCCAGATRCAGCGCCCAACAAGGTGATGAAGACRGTGTCCACCATAGCCARGTAAGTGCCCTACCACTCTCCTACCATGTCCCCCTTCTTCCTCCTTCAAGCTRGGGTGCTCGCCATARCCAGGCTGAGCCCCARCGGACCTTCACCTCCMAGCAGCGCTGCCTCAGACCAGCGCTGCGCTCCAGCAGCATGTCGCCAATCCTTGCATACCGCAAATGAGGAAGAGCCTACCGCTCTTCCTGAAGATATAGTGGCCTACCGGCCTCCTGGGCGGTGACTTYCCAGGCCAAGCGGCCTCCCAGGCAACCGGTACCTCCTCCCTTTTGGAGGGAAACATCATTGCAGGCTYTGTTATTGTCCGCACAGGCCCTAGACCCGGGCTACTTGGACTGGTACCGGCCTACCCCCAACCTACCGCTACTGGACCTCTAAAAATGCCAACTTTTTGTCTTCTTCTGCTCGGCCTACCTGCTACTTGAGTGTTTTCCCCAGCTGCTCTAAGTGYCGTGGGCCTATCTCCCGCTACCGGCGTGTTTTACCCCCCTGCAACCCTCCAGAGTCACGRCCAYAGGTAAGTACCRGCCCGGTGGGCCTTGCAACCAACAAGTACCCTTGYGGGTCAARCACACACATACCCCCCGGCAAGCACTCAGACAGGCATGCACGCACACACACACAACCAGCAAGCAGTCAGACAGGCATGCAACCAGYAGGCACGCACACACACAGACTTGGAACCACAGCAGAATGCGGGAATCACAACAAGGCATCCATTCCAGTGACAAATCCCAGAAATCGGCAGTGTTCTCAGTCTGTGTTTTTGGTGGGTCATTACATTACTCCCCTCTCGAGAGCGAGGTCCCTTCGAGCGAGTAACTCAGTCAGAGTCGGTACAAAAGGTGTCGTAGGCATAGATCAAAAGGAGACTGTTAGTGAGACCGAACGGAGTGAGTTTTGCAGCAAACTTGGCGGTCTGTCCATCAACAATCTGTTGTTCATATGCGTTCACAACACGTGGCGCACTCTTCAGCAGCTCTTTCCGGTCGATCCAGAAAAATTCATTCAACGGGTGATTAATATTGTTTGTTCCTTCCTCTCCCTTCGTGAGAAATGATTCTGTCGATCTCATGGCCACCATCGATAGGGCGAGGTATCATAGGGTCTCGGAAGGGAAAAGTCTCATCATCAATGTGCGGAAACAGTTTGGAGGCATGGAAGACTGGGTACGTGTGCAGATGAGGCGGCACGTCAATCACATACGAAGGACCGAAATCATCCCCAATCACTTTCAGAATCTGCCAAGGGCCGTAGTATAGTGGAAGAAGCTTTCGTGAAACGCCCTCTTCATCAGAAAATTCAGACATTTTGACCCAGACATAATCTCCTATTTTGAATTTCTCTTCTCTGCGCATCTTATTAGCATGTTTGATCATGGCATGCTGGCGCTTGTTCATGGCTGCGGTCACAGCTTTGAGCAAGCGTGCGTACTTGGCATTGTAGCCAGGCATGCCGGGCATCAGACCAGGTGACCGTTCTGGGAACAGGTAGGAGAGGGGATTGCGCATTGGCCATCCATACTGCAACTGGTTTGGTGTCACACCGGTTGCAGAATGGRTGGAGTTGTTGTACAACCCCTTTACTTTATGCAAGTCCTTATCCCATGTGTTCTGATCTGGCACAATCAATGCGCGCAGCAGCTGGGTGACGGTCTGGTTGATTATCAGCCAATCCATTGGCTTCAGGGTGTCGGCCAAAAGTCATGTTCAGTTTGATGTCGTAGATCTGGGCAGTGAAGTCCTTCCAATCCTCGCTGATGAATCTGGTGTCCCGATCACTCACAAGAGTTTTCGGGGGCCCATACTGCAGAATGTACTGCTGGTGAAACTCTTCGATCACCAGTTCAGTCGGTGCATGAGGAGGTAGAAAAATCAGATTCAGAAATTTAGAGAAGCGATCCACAATGACCATGACTTGTGAATTCCCTGCCGTACTCACCTTCCCCATGTCCGTGAAATCGATAGAGACCGATTCCCCGGGGCCATCAGGGATTGGGAGAGGTCTCAGCAGGCCATAAGGCTTATGCCTGTGGACCTTGGTTCTCTGACAGACTTGACACTCAACAATAAATTTCTGAGCAGATCCCTTCATTCCCGGCCAATCAAACTGCTGGAGAAGACTTCCATAAGTCTTCTCAAAGCCGAAATGCCCACTCCGACCATGTACCAAATCCAGGAAATGAGTCCGGAGAGGCGCATGGTTAGGAACACACAAGCGATCAAATTTCCCGTACTGGCGGAATACAAGACCATCGCATTCGTGAAAATCAGGCTGGCTGTTGGGGTCAGCCTTAAGTTGCTCAAGGATGGGACTAAGGTCCGGATCCTTGGCGGTGTGTTCAACCAGATCCTCCTTCAGTTTCCTTCGGAGGTCGTATGAACCTACAAGGCAAGTCAAATACTCGGGATGGCGCGACAAAGCATCAGCGATACGGTTATAACAGCCTTTCTTATGTTTCAACTCAAAACTGTAGACATCAATGTCATGCAACCAGCGGGTCTATGTAGGAGAGAGTTCAGATTGTGTCTGAATCCATTGCAAGGTCTGATGATCAGAGTAGACCTTGAAGTGGCGACCCAAGAGGTAGTGCTTCCAATGTGCGAGGGCTTCACGCAGGGCGTAAAGCTCACGCGTATATGTGGAAGTAGCTACCTTGTGGCTGGGCATGCGCTTGCTGTAATATTCAAGCGGACGCAGGCCATCACCATCGTCTTGTTGCAGCACTGCACCAATCCCAAACTGACTCGCGTCCGTAGTGACTACGAACGTGAGGTTGGGGTCCTCAATGCGGAGCACAGGATGACTCACCAAGGCCTCTTTCAAGGCTTGGAACGCAGACTCACACTTCTCACACCATGCATAGGCAACATTCTTGCTGGTTAGTCGTGAGAGTGGGTGAGCAATAATAGAAAATCTGGGTACAAACCCCAGTAATAAGAAGCCAAACCGAGAAAAGAACGCAGTTCGCGTACGTTCGCCAGTTGAGGCCAGTTTTGAATGACCTCAACCTTGGTTGCCTCCGGCTCAAGGCCGTTTGCAGACAACCGGTGCCCAAGATAGATGACGCTGTCCCTGCCAAACTCAGATTTCTCCAAGTTGATGTGCAGTTGAGCATCTTTGAGGACTTGCAAGACCTCCTCAAGATGCTTGACGTGCTCCTCCATGGACTTGCTGAAAATCAGAATGTCATCACGATACACAACCACAAACCTGTTAAGTTGGTGGCGGAGTACCTTGTCCATGAGGGACTGAAATGTGGCTGGTGCGTTCGTAAGGCCGAAGGGCATAACGATAAATTCGTACAGCCCATCGCGTGTCTTGAACGCGGTTTTGTGCTGGTCACTCTGATCGACTTCAATCTGGTGGTAGCCAGACTTAAGGTCAATTTTGGAGAAGACCTTGCAACCACCGACCGCATCCAACAGATCATCCATGCGAGGCAAAGGGTACGCATTTTTTCTAGTGATCCGGTTCAAGCCACGATAGTCAATGCACATTCGGAGCTTGCCTCCTTTCTTCCATACAAACAGGACAGGGTCACCAAACTCAGACTCACTAGGCCTAATCCATCCACGGTCAATCATGTCATCGATCTGTCTCCGCAGCTCCTCCAACTCGCCTTGTCCCATACGATAGACACAACGCTTTGGAGGAACACTCCCTTCTATTATTTCGATTTTGTGCTTGACTGGACGCTCGGGAACTCCGCGCGGTTCAGCCAACACTTCCGGAAATCGATCTAATAGAAGGCGAATGTTCGCTGGGATTTCCGGTGGCGGATCATCCTCATCAGGGGAGAGAAAATCAGATCGAGAATTTACAGCAATCACAACCGGTTTCGAAGTATTTGGATCAGAAATAGATTGATCATTTACAGTAGAAGTAGGTGGAACAGAAGTAGTAGTAGAGGTAGAGTTACCTTCAGAGGTAGAAAATGCAGCAAAAGTAGGCACATGGAGAGGCTTTACAAGAGCTATATGTACAAACTCAGCTTCCTTGCGCCTGCGCACTGACCTGCAGAATTTGTTAGCACTGAGAAGAGTCACAGGGGACTCGCGCGTCTCGTCTAGTAAGACGGTACGCTCGTTCCCCTCAGCATCGAGAACCACGAACCGATTGTCCGCCCATGTGGTCCTTAGGCAATGAGCCTTTAGCCAGCCCAAGCCAATGACCGCGTCGAACGGACATTTGTCCAAGACATAAAAATTTAGCTCATGTGTGACAGTGCGATTTTTGTCAAAGGTGATGCGCACACCTTTGACAGCATGAGTAAAAGTGACAACCTCTTGGTTGCCCACCTRAGTYCGGCAAGGGTTCTGCAGTTCCACTTGCTTCATACCCAGGCCCGCCTTACGAATCCCGTTCGGAGAGAAGAAATTAGTGGTGGAGCCACTGTCAATCAACACACGGATGTATCGGCGGTTAATGAGTAGTTTAAAGAAGGCCAACTCCACGCTCCCCTGAACACAGCGTTGCTGTTTGAGCTGCAGCCAATGCTCCATGTGGGCGTGGAGGTCAACTTCTCTAGACTCCTCCCAAGGCTCAGTGTATAATACTTGGACTGCACCAGCCTTGGAATAAACATCAGTTCGGACTTCAAGAGCAAGCTGCTGATCAGATCCAGGCTCCTCGGAAGGGCCTGCAACTGACTGCCCAACTTTCCTTGCTGTAGAGAGTGTTGACGACTCCTCTACGCCCCTTGCCTGTTTCCCTGAAGACGATAGCAATCCTGCACAGCATGCCCAGACTTTGAACAATGCAAGCATACGCGCAGTTTGGATCTTCTTTCCCATTATTTTTGGCTGATGCGGAGGGCTTCCCAAGGTTTGGTGGAAGCGTCCTCCGGTTTCTCAGGGATCTTAGCATTCTTGGGAAGGTGTATGACGGTTCCCTTACCCGAACCACGGTTAGGCCCCTTATTTGAAGCAGTCTTCTTGAATGCATTAAGTTTTTCATCGTCGTTTCGGTCACACTCAATGGCTGATGCAGAACAACCCGCATCGGAGTCTGGCTCTAGATCGTCATCCAGAGACAGATCATCCGCATAGGACTGATCCTCAGCCTCCCGATGGTCATGCAGTGCAAGCTGGTTGCTGCTTCCCAACCGCTTGCGTTGTGGTTTCCCACCTGCAGCGGCGCCTTCTTGCGCCTGGCGAGGTCTTTGGCCTCTAGGTTGACTAGATCCTTCATGAGCTCTCGCCAGGTAGCATGATCTTTGAGTGCTAGCAGGGAGAGGTATTCTTTAGGGGCCACTCTCATGACTACATCCATGCAAGACACGTCAGTCATCCCCAGATCCGGAGTGGTGAATAGACCTGTCAAGTGTTGTTCTAAAGCTTGCATGGATGACCTCCATGTTTGGCCTTTGAGGGCCTCAAGCTTCAGCCTAGCCTTGAGCGCAGCGTGTTTATCCTGATACCGGTCAAGGAGAACATCTTCAAGAGCGCGAACAGGGGTAACCTTCAGCCATTCAGTCGGGTCTATGCGCTCATAGCCTGCAGCAACAACTTGGAGCTCAATGTGGTTGCGTACGGCGGGCTCGGTATTAGTCCCCATGATCATACTTCGGTCCTCTTGCGGTGTCCGCATGACCTCGAAGTATGACCTCATGGAACTAATCCAAGAGGTGATGTCAGCCTTCCCGTCGTACTTGGACGGCAGCGTGGCCGCCCGCTTGTCCACCATGGGACCGCTGTACTGAACGCCAGTAAGAACTGCGGCGTTTTGGGCTGAAGTTCCTGCATTTGGGATTGTGACCAGTGCAGAACTGCCGGTGCTGCCGCTCGAGGAGCTGGCACCAGTTCCTGCACTTGCCACAGTTCCGTTGGCCCTTGGAACGAGGGCTGTGCTGGACTGAGAGACTCGGATTACAGCAGATCGAGAGTTAGGAGGGCGGGGGGCAGACAGTTGGGACTGTTCCAGGCTATTTACTTTAGCCTGCAACTCTTGGTTCCGCTGCTCAAGTGCTGTCACACGGGACTCGAGATCTTCCAAGTTCCGCAGCCGGACCAAGGCTGCGACGGCAGCAGCTAGCCTCTCCTGGAACCGGTCAGCATTGGCTTCCGGAACCTGTAGGAGGGCCTCCCGCGCAGCTATACTCGTAGCTCTAGTTGCTGCCTCCGCCTCCCTTTCCCTCTGTACGGCATCATCATATAGTTTTTGAAAGAACGGTTTCTGACTCTCGTCTGCTGCGTCCAGCATGGCCTGCCATTGGTCAGTAGTGCTCTCAAGAGGGGTCCGCTCTCTTCTTACGTTTGGACGAACACTCCTCTTGCCCCTCCTCACACTCTCAAACAGCACACCCTCACTCTCCCTTTCCTCTCTTTTCGCTGTCTGCGCACGCGTCTCAACATCGGACATAGGTAGTTCAGGCCAAAGAAACAAACAGAAAACCACTCAGAGAAGAAGGTAGAACTCCTAGCCGGAGCGGCGAATCATTTGGACTGAGAACGTGGCACGCAGCAGAAGAAAAAAAAAAAATAGTAATAATAAAACAACAGAGAGGTCTGATTTATAGAACGGGCCCGATCAGATCAGCTGGAGAACCCCTCTTGTCTAACCTGACAGAGGACGTGTCATCACAATAAATCAGACGAAGAAAACTAACTGCAGCAATGGAGATTTCGAGGGGTGCAGATGGTCGCCGAGTCAGAAGCGGGGCAGTATGTGATCACACGCGGTAAGACCAGTCAAGATCCCCTTGAAAGGAATGCCCTTGCTGTCCGTGTGTCCCCCAGATTCAGCACAGCAAAGTAAGGCACTGACAGCAGCAGATCTGGGCCCGAAGGTCCTGTCTCGTTGGGCCTGGTCCCACTGGGTCCCAAATGGTCCCGAGTAGGCCGTGGACCAGGTCTAACGAGACAGGGGTACCAAGTCAGACCCAAACTGTCTCTGCCATACTGAAAAGGAAAAGACAACTTTCAGCAAGAACTTGCCCCTACTACCGTTCAGAGGTGAAAAGACAATGCACTATAGAAAGATAAGTCATTTAGAGCAAGATACATCATCCATTCATCCATCAGGTGAGAAAGCAATCCACATCGTCAACACACACAACCAGGACTGCAGAGAAGGGGAAGAGATCCCAGCAGACCCCCAACAGGTCATGCAGCACCAAGCAACCTCCCACGGGCTTACCCAGGTCACACGGCACTTACCTGTGAGGCCCGGCCTCCAAAGATGGATAACGAGTCACTCCCCTCTCATATAAGTCCTCCTGACCCCTAGCTACCACTACACGAAGTGTCCTAGCATGACTAAGAGGGCCTTCCTACACCCCTGTTGCAAAGCCGGATCCCCTGTCGATGCCTGAAGACCAAAGTAGCAACTTGCAGCAATCCGATGCAGATATGGCAGCCTCCGATGAAGTCTCCCACTTGCGGGGAAGCCCAAAAGACACTCAATGTCTTTCTGAAGTCCAGAATCCAGGTGCGAGTACCTCTCACTCTCTACTCCCTCTCGCTTACTCCAAACAGCCTCCTTTGTGTCTCGCCACCCCATACATCCACTCAAGCAACCTGGTTGGGTCCAATGTCGACCCTACATGACCTAACCAGGTGGGGGCAGCATCCCCATACCTCGCTGCCCCACTTAACCCTAACTTGCAACCCTAATCCGAGATTAGGTTAGCCCTAACCTAATTCGGAATTAGGGTTAGGGTGACTAACACCTCTCGCCAGCAAGTAAGTCCGCTCCGATA